CCCCTTCCCCCGCCGGCCGCCCGCCCGCCCGCCCAAAATAGAAAGGAAAGGAAGTTATTTCCATAGTCAGTGACAGCCCGGAAAAGCTCCCCTCCAGTGAGGGGGCGGCGGGATTCCTGGAGCTGGAGAGCAAATCAAAGCGGGGCCCGAGCCAGAGTGGCCCCCACCGCCCCGCCTCGGCTGCCTTCTCAGTGTGTCATTTCCCTGATTCAGCAGAACACGTGTGCTGCGGTTGCCACGCCGCAGGCTGCCGAGGAGCTGTGGGGAGCTGCTGGCCCGGCTCCAGGCTGCCCTCAGACCCAGGAGCCCGGGGTCGTGCAGGGCGTGTGCCACCGCCACCCGGCCTTGCTGTTGGCCTCTGCCACCGTACAGACCTGCTGCTGCACACCTGCCTAGGAAGGGCGGCCCCTGAGCGCCCCTCAGAACGAGAACCCTTCCACTCGCACGTCTCCATATGCCTTTTCAGAACACTGTTCAGGACACAGTGTCAGGAGGGGTGCCCAAGCACCTTGGCAGGGAGGTAGCATTTTCTAGATGAGGAAACTGAGCCCTAGAGGGGAACAAGGTCTTACCCAAGACCACCTTGCTGGCTGCGGCTGAGTCAGAACTGGAGCCCAACTCTCTCTAGGGATCCTGGCATCCCCACATCCCCCCTCAGCAGCAAACCAGCAAAACAACATGTAGGCAGGCTGGGCTGTTGGCGGCTTATATATCCGTTCATTGGACCTTACCTGTTACTCAGCAGCATGAGCTCTGCCCTGTGCTAGGTGCCAGGGATATAAGCGTGAAAAGATACGATTTCTGCTGTCTTGAGAGGACATTCAGAAACATCTACGGATGAATCCACAACTCCCAACAAACATTAGCACCACAGTAGAGAGTTGTCTAGGTCTGGAGACCTGTGAGGGCACTGAGAGGCTGGAGAGTGACCTGAGGCTGATCAAGAAGAGTCGCCAGTGATGAGACGGAGTGCTGATGGGACAGTAATGAGATGGCCTTTGTCCTGGAGGGAAGCTCTGGGCAGGATCCGTCCTGCCGAGGACCTAGTGTGATGGGCCTGAGACCTGTGTTCGGACCTGGCTTCTCCTTCATCATTGCCATCTCCCACTCCCCAGGATCGATGTGCTGGGCTCTGGACCCCCTTCAAACCAGAGGCGCTACCGGAACTGGAACCCACCCCTGCTGGGCAACCTCCCCGATGACTTTCTCCGCATCCTGCCCCAGCAGCTGGACAGCATACAGGTAACAGGGCTGCCCCCCACCTTCCACTCCCATCTGCCTGCCTGGCATCTCTCTCTGCCTGCACAATTGGTGCCAGCCAGTTTTACTTCCTGATTTTTAAGCCCAGGCTGAGCTATTTCTGTTTATAGGGAAAGGATGCTGAACCAAAGGCCTCACTTCCTGTCTGGGCCTGCAGGTTTCCTGCTCTACTCAGGGAAGGTGACTGCCTGAGGAGGCTTTCTGGCTGTAGCCACCACCTCAGGCTACAGGGAGATGGGCAAGGGGCAGCCAGTGGCAGAGGGCCAGGGCATCTTCCTTCACTCCCCTGGGAAAGGGCCAGGGCAGCTTCTCCGCCCAGATGTCGGCTTGCCCCAGTGCTCCTGCAGAGGAGGGTCTCACCCTGGGGCTGCTGGTGCAGTGAGAGGTTTGAGTCTGGGCATCCATGTGTACCCCACTGAGCAGTTTGCAAATCCCTTTTCAGAACTATTCAAGTGGTAGATGAAGGGATGAGATGGTCCAAAGTGGGGAGGAAAAATAGTTTTTAAGCCCTTGCTGCTTCCCCAGCAGAGAGGGCTCTGGGCTGTTACATTGGATTTTGGCTGACCATTAGGTTGCAATAGGAGGTGTGGGCCTCAGGGTGGCCTGGAGGGTCCTGGGAAATGGCGTGTGTCTACGCAGATGTGCATGGAGTTTGTGCAACACGTGCCTTGGTGAGTAGGCATTCAACATGCTCGTTCCTCTCCTCAGGGTAATCCTGGGGTTCCCAAGCCTGTGAGTGGAGAGGGAGGCCCGCCTCCCACGGCCGGGCAGGGGACCCGTGACCAGGAGAGCCGCTGGAAGCAGTACCTGGAGGATGAGAGGATCGCGCTCTTCCTGCAGAATGAGGAGTTCATGAAGGAGCTGCAGCGCAACCGCGACTTCCTCCTTGCCCTGGAGAGAGGTGGGCATCAGCGGGGCGCTGCAGTCACTCCTCTGTGGCTGAAGAAGGGCTTTAGCCTTGGGGTTCAGGAGAGCACTGAGCTAGAAGCCAGGGTGCCAGGCACTTTTTGCACTGCAAAGGCACAGCCCCCACCAGGTTATCCTGTGGGAGCCCCAGAATTCTGCCACTGGGGACCTGGGTCACCAACCACTCCTTCTCCCTCCCTGCTGTTCATTCATTCCTCCGTTAAGTAGCTGGAGGGTATCTGCCCTGTGCCAAGCCCTGCCCTAGGTGTTGGAGGAAGAGAAAATTCGAGCTTTGTGTACAAGGTGGTGAGAAGCAAGAATTGCATCAGAAGAGGGTCACCCTCACCCCCCTGCCTTCCCACGTGGGAGCCCTAGCTAAAGGGGGACCAGAGGGTGGGCAGCTGTGTTGTCGTGTTGTTCATCCATTCCTCCGTTAAGTAGCTGGAGAGTATCTGCCCTGTGCCAAGCCCTGCCCTAGGTGTTGGAGGAAGAGAATATTCGAGCTTTGTGTACAAGGTGGTGAGAAGCAAGAATTGCATCAGAAGAGGGTCACCCTCGCCCCCCCGCCTTCCCACGTGGGAGCCCTAGCTAAAGGGGGACCAGAGGGTGGGCAGCTGTGTTGTCGTGATGCAGGAGGCCCCAGTTTCACGCTCTGGACTCTGTGTCTGTGCACGCAGTGGCACAGCTGCCTGCCTCCGAGAAAGGCTCAGCAGCTTTTGCCTGAAACAGACCTTACATCCTTCGGTGGGGTGGGCGTGGGGAGAAGGACGGGGAGCTCAGCTGACCCCAGCTCAGAGAGAGAAAATCCCGTGGAACCGATTCATAAGCAAGGGGCCGGGCCGGGGAGCTTAGGCACCACCAGATGCGCAGTGGGAGTTTTAACAGGAGCCTCTTGTCCTTGATCCTGAATTAACTAGACACTAGGGCTGCGGAGATGGATAATGAGATGGATAAAATGACCCAATGGGGACTTAGCAGGCAAGGTGACTCGGGATTAGCCAAGTTGCAGGATGGAGAGCAGGGACTTTAAAAGTGCAGTGAGAGGCCCGAGTGGGTGCTGAGTGAGCAGGGGGCACTCAGTGGCAGCTGAGCTCTGACTCTAGGACCAGCCCCGTTCTCACTCCTATGCATTGTCTAACAAGGAGATGGATAAAATGACCCAAAGGGGACTTAGCAGGCAAGGTGACTCAGGATTAGCCAAGTTGCAGGATGGAGAGCAGGGACTTTAAAAGTGCAGTAAGAGGCCCGAGTGGGTGCTGAGTGAGCAGGGGGCACTCGGTGGCAGCTGAGCTCTGACTCTAGGACCAGCCCCGTTCTCACTCCTATGCATTGTCTAACAAGCCAGCAACTCTGGCTGGGAGGGAGCAACAGAGGGGCTGGCCCTGGAAGGAAGGAGGGACTTGTGACGGGTGGGCACCAGCCCTGTGCTGTCTCCTCGTTGGACTCCCGCGCCGTGTCAGGACACAGGCAGGCCCGCATGTGCTCGTGACTGTTTAACAGCCGGCTCCTGGTGCAGGGAAGCCCGGTTTCAGCCCCCAGTGTCATTCATGGTGTAAATACTCCCACCACAGATGACTGTTTAACAGCTGGCTCCGGGTGCAGGGAAGCCCGGTTTCAGCCCCCAGTGTCATTCATGGTGTAAATACTCCCACCACAGCTGATATCATGCTACTAGTGCGACTTCATCGAACGTAGAGTTGGTCAGAGAAGTGGACTCTCGGGATCCCATGAGAACCAGCTCCCCAAACACAGCAGATCATGACTGTCCTCAGTTCTACAGAGGAGGAAAGCGAGGCTCAGGGAAAGGAGTGCCCCTAGAACCCCCCGTGTCATCCTCGTCCTCGTTGTAAACTCCCTCCTGGGAGGGAGGACCCCTGCTCTTTGCAGCCTTCCTTGAATGGAAGGACAGGGCTGAAGCAGCCCCCGGGGCCCCACCCTCAGCAGGTGTCTCCCCCTTCCAGGAACCAGTGATGCCAACCCTGCTGTGTCTGAAGATGCCTTATTCAGGGACAAATTGAAACACATGGGAAAATGTGAGTCCAGCGGCTGTCCCCTCCCTTCCTGGCTCTCCTGAGACGAGCCTGTGGCTTTGAGGGAGGGTGGGAGCCACCCAGAAGTTTTCATGCAGCCGACTCTGGTGAACTGAAGTGACATTTTAATCGCAGGCGGCTCCCTCAGCCTTCCTGCCTTACTTCCCTCTACAGCTGAGTCTGGATACAAATGAAGTTTTAAATCCTCTTGAGCCAGCTGTCTACAGAAAGATAACGTGCTGCACAACCCCTCACCCCAGTTTTAGTGGTCACCTTCTGTGTGGCTTGAGGTGGCTTGGCTGGGTGTGACTGTGGGGGCAGGAGACCTTGGGTGCCCCCTTCCCATCCCCCTCGCTTCCCCACCACATGGACCCACAGCCATGGGTGAATGAGACTGTGATCCTTTCAGGCTCCATTTCAGGGAAAATCTGGGATTAGTCATGGAAATCCCAGAACCAGCTCTGGAGGTGGCTGGGGGAGGGGCGGGAAGGCGGCGGTGGCGGGAAAGAAAGCCCAGATGCGTTGCTGTCTGTCGCAACTGGGGAAGGAATACCCGGATCTTGGGCTGCTGGCGGTGCCTGGGCCTGGCTCGCTCTGGTGGCCTGTGCTGCCCCTGCAGGCCGACCTGGGATGGCAGCTTCGCTCCTGAGGTGGCACCCGCGTAGGCGATCCGGGTCACCTCCCCCTCCCTAGCCTCCATGCTGGCCTGCTCCCTGCCCCGCCTCCTGCAGACCTGGACGCAGGCCATCTGGTGCTCTGGCTGTCGAGAGAATGAGAGAGTAGCTCACAGGTGTCTCTGCCCCCAGCCACCCGGAGGAAGCTGTTTGAACTCGCCCGAGCCTTCTCCGAGAAGACCAAAATGAGGAAGTCAAAGCGGAAACACTTGCTGAAGCATCAGTCATATCCTTTCCGGCCTGACACTGGGCGGGGGATGCCAAGGGCGTCCAAGTGAGACCCCTGGCTGGGCTCTGTGGCCTCCCATCCTCTGAGCCAGCAGACCAGGCCACTGCCATCTCTCAGTGCCCATCCTTCACACCAGTGGCCAGGCTTGGGGAGCAGGGCAGTGGCTCCTGTCGTCCTTCTGTAGGCTCAGAAATTGCTCTGCAGCATTTTTTTTTTGGTCTGGAGTAATCTGCATCTTGGGAGAAAAATTGGTTCTTCCATTGAAATCAGCAAAGCTTTCCCTAATTTCTGTAGTTGCGCTGGCCATAGATTTCAAGCATGTTGGCCTTGCCTTCTCACTTTCAGTTCTTTGAGTAGAAACAGGATATTCCAGGGCTGGCCCGTTAGCTCAGTTGGTTAGTGCACAGCCTTATAACTCTGAGGTCACGGTTCGGATCCCCATACTGGCCAGCTGCCAAAAACAAAAGAAACAAGGATTTTCCATATTTTTACCCCAATTCTATCCATGCTCGTCAAACAAGGCCCAGGATATTAGAAGCTGAACAGCCACAGGGGAGCAGGGGAAAAGTTGCTTCTGTCCCCAGAGATGGAAGCAGGGTGAGGGTCATGGTCTGGCTGCTCAGCTGACCCTAAGAAAAGGAGCCTGAGGGGCAGTATTGGGGGTCAGGCGGGTGTGGAGGAGGGGTGGGCAGACCACAACAGTGCCCACCCATCCCAGGACAGTTTTCCTTAATGGCCTGGCAGGCTGGGTCCTGCAGCATCAACAGCCAATCTCCTGGAGGATGTGGAAGGCCATGCTTGTGGTGAGACAGGGAGGGGAGCCTTAAGCCTCAACTTGCCTGTGATCTGTGACTCCCCAAGAGGAGCTTCTGGGTGTTTCAGGGGTGGGCCCAACCTGGGGGCACATCAAAGGCTGGTGGGCAGGTGACCCAAAGAAATGGATCCTTCCCACTTGCTCCATATAGCCTCTCCCTTCCTGCAACCTGTGAATGGGGGGGGGGGCCCTAGTCCCACCTTCACCTAGATTTCAACCTGTATGTAGCACAAAGTACCAGGTACTATTTCTGTGAAATATTCTCTGGGGTGTGAGGGGGCACAAAGGCCTACCTATGTGAAGGGGCCTCAACTTGAGAGCCAGGTGCTGGGCAGCTCCAGTTTGTGAACCCAGAGACTTTTCAACTTTTACTCAGTCCCTTCTGAATGCCACATGGGCCAGAAGACCCTACCTTGACCCTACCAGGCCGAAAGCTAAACCCTGATCCTCATGCTACAGGCAAGAGGGGCCCTTCAAGGGTCAGGAGACATCCAGAAACAAGGACTAGCAAGGCCTTGGTGGTCATCTGGATAGTCCAACTTCCCCAACCCATTTTATAGATGAGGAAAGAGAGGCCCAAAGAGGAGGAAAGAATTTGTCCAAGGTCTCAGAGGTCAGTGATGGAACCAGGCCAGCTCTCATCAGACCCATGCATCGCCCACCTGGGGATCAATAGGTGTCCCATTCAATGAAGGTGGCAGAGAGTCGGGTCAGCTCTGTTGCCCACTCTGGTGGACACGTCTGAGCAAGGCCTTGCAGGGTGGAGAATGAGGCTGTGTCCCTGTGCTTTTCAGATGAAGACTTCCGGGCAAGGCGGCAGGAGGCACCCAAGGCGGAGGAAGCCCTAAGAGAAGGACAGTAGGAGGTAAGGCCTGGAGCCACTGCTGTCCAGGGACTGCCCAAGGCTGAGGCCTGTCACACCCCACACCCCATTGTCTTCCCAAGTGTCCGGAGGTGCTGGGTTCCGGCAACTGGGTAGTACAGGTCCTGGGTCTCTTCCCTCATAGTTGTGGTAGGGGACATTGCCTTCTGCATGGGAACTAGTCTTTTGCATTTCTTTTATTTGGTTATTTAGTCAGTTGACAAAAGATAATCATACCTTCCTATGACAGATGTTGGGAACAGGAAAACAAAATCAGCTTTTGACCTTGAACAGTTTACAGCCCAGTTGAGGAGACAGTCCAGGACACACATGGCACTCTGAGAGCACAACTGAGGAAGAATTGAGGTGGCCTAAACCTGGCCATGCACACACAGAACTCTCTCCAGTCCCCTGCTTGGGTTGGGTAGTCTGGGATCTGCCACAACCAGATGAGGAAAAGGCCCCTCCCGAGGTAGCTGTTTCTGGCTAGAAGCTGGGCCTGTATGCTGCTTTTCCTCATCTCTCCCTGTGCACCCCTCTGGGGGAGGGACAGGGAATGTCAGGGCTTCCTGCAAGACCTGCCCCTCTTCCAGCCCCTCTCCCTCCGTTGGAAAGCTGCCTGCCTGCCCTTCCCCCAGCCCCTGTCCTGGTCCCAGCCATCAGCATCTACCAGGATATCTTGACCCGTTGATGTGGCAGGCAGTGGCAGGTCGTAGTGAAGGTGAGATAAACCAGGGTGCAAAGGACAGCCAGGAAAAAGTAAATACAAGTGCCCTCACCTCCGCTTGGGCAGCTGATCCTCCCAACCCTCTGGTTGACTCCTGACCACATCCCTCATCAGGGCTTCCAGCCCCTGCCATTCTCCCCAGGATTTCTTCACCCACAGAGCTGCACCCCCGCTTCTCTGAAATGCCCAAAGAAAGCCAGCCAGGGAAACAAACGTCCGCTCCCACTGGACAGTGCTGCCATCTCCCACCATCTTCTCCATCCCACTCGTCCCCAGGAAAACAGGACCTGTCCAAAGCCACCCCTGCATTGGAACCTTGCTCACTTGCTTATGATTTCTCTCCTGAGCTTCCAGCTTTCCCCTTTCTAGCTCCTGCCTCGCGTTTACATCCTCCTCCTCCTCCCTATCTTAAAAACCCAGGGGCTCAGTTGGTTAGAGCACAGCCTTATAACACCAAGGTCACAGGTTCAGATTCCCATACTGGCCCCACCAAAACACAAAAATACCAAAAAAAAAAAAAAAAAAAAAAATATCCTGGGTGCTCAATATTTTCCTTCATCACCAAACTTAAAAAGCAGCACCTCCTTCCCCCACTGCAGGCTGGCAGCCCCTCTCGCTACCTCTGGATTGACTCAAGGAGGTCTCCTGCCAGCTCCAGGGCTGTATCCTATTCTGCATTCTCCTGGTGCTCTTTCACACACAATGCCCATTGTCTTTTCTGAAACTGCTCTCCCTGGGCTCGGGTGACCCCAGGAATCTTCTGGGCCTCTGCTGGGCCTCTGCTGCTCCTGCTCCTCCTGCTCCCTGAATATCCGCTCTCCCTGTGGCTGTCTCTGACCTCTTCACAGTCTTCTTGCTCCCCACTCTCTGGCACTGCCTCTTTCACCTCCTTTACAGCGCCAGCATGCTGCTGTGCAGTTGGCTACAGAATCTGAATCTCCATTGCAGTCAGTCCTCCACCGCTGCTCTGTACCCCCAGCTGCACCCATGATTGTCTTTCCACCCCTGTCATCTCACTGAAAGCCAGGCAGTCTCTCCTCCCGATGTCCCCATTTCACTCCTTCCACCATCGCCCTGATAGATTCTCAACACCTAGCCAGTAGCCCTAGTCTCTTCACTGCCCCTACTCTGTTCATCCCATCACACAACACCACTTTTGTTCCATTTCTCCCTTGCTCTTTGAATGGATCTTTTTTTTTTTTTTCTAAAAAGATGACCGGTAAGGGGATCTCAACCCTTGACTTGGTGTTGTCAGCACCACGCTCAGCCAGTGAGCGAACCGGCCATCCCTATATAGGATCCGAACCCGGGGCCTTGGTGTTATCAGCACCGCACTCTCCCGAGTGAGCCACGGGCCGGCCCTTGAGTGGATCTTCTGAGTTAAGTGTTATGAACTCCTTAGCCTGGGGCCCACCAAATTCTGTCCCCAGTTTACTTTTCTGCCCCTACAGGTCTCCTTGGTCTAGCTCCTCTGAGCTGCTACCATGTCAGCGAATGGGCCAGGCACTTTCCCACCACCAAGACCTTCCCCGACACCTGCTTCCCACCTGGAAGCGTGGCGTGCCATGCCCCCACTCTAGCTCCAGCTGCCACAGTCCCTGCAGTTCTGCAAGTGGGAACATTTCTAGGAGTTTGGATGGGGGAGATGACCCCAGGCAGAGCTCCAAGGAGGATCTAGAGTCTCTGGAGAGAAGAGGGGACTCTTGTCTTTGGTATCTTCTGCCCAAAACTCTCTCCAGGAACCAGTGGCCAGGAAAGACCATTGAGCTCCTTTGAAAAAGACTTTTCCCCTCCCTTTTCCCCTACCAGATGCCAGCAGCTCCTCCTTGCCGGAGATGATCTGACCCAGTGGGAGCAGCCGGAGGGCAACACTGGTCCCCAGCTGAAGGGCCCAGCTGCAGCCGGACTGATGGTGCTTGCATACTATGGCCCAGTGGTTCTCCGGTCACAGTCCAGCCCAGCCACTGCCACTTTCCAAGGGACTTAGAACTTTGGAGTTGCCATCCTGTGATTGGAGGAAGGCTCTGGGGCCCCTAGAAGGCAGCAGCCAGTCACGACCCCTTTTGTAGCCAGGCTTTTCTATGGTCAATGAGTGGAATGCAGGAACCACCAACCCTGGAGTACGGGAAAGGGCAGAATGACCCTACCAGAGGCTCTTTGCCCTAAAGGTGGAGCTCCTGCCTCCCTCCCTTTCCCATTTCTCCTGCCGGGCCACAGACCCCACCTGATCCCCTATGTCCATCCCCAGGTTCCTCTGGGTACCTCGTGCTTTCTTCCCGTGGCCTGCTGCATCTCGGCCTTTCCTGTGGCTACTGACCCTCTGCACAACCCCTGCACACAACTCCTGGTGGGAGAGCCCTGGGCAGCCACTCGGGCACCCTCCAAGGAGTGATGGGGCACTGCAGAGAGGTATCTACTGCCTGCCTGGGCTCATCGGGCTGCTTCTGTTAGGGGCTGGCATGGGCCTCCAGCAGCCTTTCCTACACCCAGCAGGGATGGGGAGGGTGGCTACCCCGGAGCTGGAGGATTCTGGCTAGGCAGGCCTTTACTTTGGCAGAAGACAACAGCCAGTTCTGGAGTCACACCACCATGGGAGATCACAGGGGCTCTGACTCCCCAGCCGGACTAGAAGTCCTGCTGTCCTCCAAGGGTGGGCAGCGACAGGTTCCAGAGTGACCCCTGGAGAAGGTCGCAGACCTGAAGAGCAAGATATAGAGGCTGCTGGCCTGGTGGGAGCGCCTAGGGCAGAAGCACTTGCCAGGTTCCCCTTGCAAAGAGCGAGAAGATGATTTGAGGAAAACTCTGATTCTACAAATGCTTACCGGCACCAACCATTGCCTAGGGGAGGGAGGCTGCTCCGGTCTATCCAGCCCCTCCCTCGACACGGGAAAGAGCTGACCTTTCCAGAGAGCTTGGAAGCCCTGGGCAGGCACGAGGCTTCGGGGCTCCTGGGGCGCGGGTTTGGGAGGTTGGGGGTGGGATTCTATTCTTGGCAGGGCCCTGGTGGCCGCAAGTGGCCACGAGATAATGAGCGCGTGGCGGAGGCGAGAGGGCGATCGCACCTCGTCCCGCCCTCCGCAGCGGCGACTCCGGGCGGGCGGCCGAGCTTCCCCTCGCTAGGAGAGCGGCGGCCGCGGGAGGGGCCGGGACGCGCCGCCGCAGAGCGTGACCAAGTTTGGAAGCGCGCGCGGTGCCCGGGACGCTGGCGCGGGGACGCCTGCGGAGGAGGGGCGGGCCGCCCGCCCTCCACTGCTCCCCGTTGCCAGGCCTGTGGCACCTGCAGGGAGAGGTCCCCAAGAAGTCCCCCGGGCCATCAGCCTGGGCTCCAGATGGGTCTGACCCCGAGGGGCAGGGGAGGGGGCTCTGGGCTGTGGCCCTGACCTCTCCCCGCTCCCGGACCCGGCGCATGGTGGGGGAAACCCCAACCCCACCTCTCTGTGTGTTGCTTTGTTATTTTTCTCCCCTCCGATGTGTGGGTTTTTTCTTGGAGCTGTTTCATAGGAATTCCTGTAATAAAAACTTGGTGTTCTCTTGGTGCTCATGTGGCCGGCGGCGTGGGCTGGACCTTTCTCTTTCTCCCTCCTCCCCGCCCAGGGTAGGGTTTGCATCTAGAGCCCCAGTGCACGGCCGTGGGCCACCTGCCTCGCTCGCCTCCATTAACGCAGCCTATCTAGGGCCTAAAAGACTCAGCCCAGTCTCCCCACTGCCCTCATGAGGTGACACCTGCTACCTGACGCGCAACCCTGCCGACCTGCTGGCTTGGCGCTTTCGCCTTACTGTTGGCACCGGGGAAATAAACCGCTTGCTGACAGGCAAAGGAAACACCATCGGGAAAGCCAGTCTTGGAAAGCTCCAGACAGTCACCTCCCTAAATAGACAGAAAGCTTCTGGATTAAGTAACTGCCGGACTGGATGCAGCAGGGATGTGCAATCTCAGACTTCAAAGGGAACACAGAGATCTCCCAGTTCATATATCCCTAGCTTCTCCCTACTCCCCAGCACAGCTGGACTTCCCTCCACAGACACAGGGAGCTCACTGCCAAAAGAGGAAGGCGATGCTATTTCCGGACAGGACGGTTCTCAAGGTTAAAAAGATTTTCCTTATGTCGACCCAAAGGCTTCCTTGTGGCTTCCAACCACACATCTTGTTCCCCAGCTCTGGGTCACTGGGGCCAAGGCTGTCCCTCTTCTCCCCGATGTCCTGTTTGAGTTGAGTGATTCAACCTTTTCTCTTCCTGTTCCTCCTACCCTCCCTACAAAGAGGTTCCCCCAACCCCAGTCAGACCCAGGTGGCACACCTGTGACAGCTGGTGATGCTCCATGCTTGCAATGGAGATGATCCTCCAGACCTGGCTCTGCACGTTGTTTACTGATTGCTGTGGACCAGCGTAATCCCTGGGGCACAGCACCAGCACGCATGGGAACTTGTTAGAAATTCCAGGTCTCAACCCCACCCCAGACCTCCTGAGTCAGAAACGTGAGGTATGCAGTCCAGCAATCTGCGATTCTGATGCACACTAAAGTTTGGGAGCTGTGGTACTAGACCAGTACCTAGTACTGGCTGCACAGAACTACCTGAATAGGTTTTTTAAAAAATCCCGGGGGCTGGCTGGTTATCTTGGTTTGAGTGTGATGCTGATAACACCAAGGTTCAGGGTTTGATCCCTATACCAACCAGCCACAGAAACAAACAACCCCCCCCCCCCCCCACCCCCCACTCCTCCACCCCACCCACCCCACTCCCCCCCACCCTTCCCCCCCACCACCCCACCCTCACCCAACACACCC